TTAAAGAACTAGAGCAATGTTGTATGTTTCCTTGGTGCTATACTGCACCCTGACTGACTCATGCCTTCCTTGTGATCCTTCTGTGAGGGGATGTCCAACTGTCTACAGATGGGCTTTGGGTCTCCACTCCGCTCTCCTTCGTTCTCATTGATATGATTGTTTGTTTTGGGTCTTCTGATGCCTGAGACCTGATCCTCTTGACACCTCGTGATCACACAGGCTGGTGTGCTTCTTCCATGTGGGCTTTGTTGCTTCCCAGCTAGATGACCGCATGGGCATCATCAGCTTTCTTCGCCACATTTGCTTATGCACCCATTTTGTCTTTAGTGATCGTGTCTGTCGGGAAGGTGAACATCACAGAATGCCAGGTTATTATAACAAAGTGTTCTTGCGTTGAGGGAGTACTTGAGTAGAGGCCCAATGTCCGTCTGCTACCTTAATATTTAACATATAAATATATGTACACGGTGTAAGATATGAAAATAATAATTTATAATTTATCAAGGGGTCACAAGGGTAGGAGGGGAGGGAGGGGAAAAAAGGAGCTGATACCAAGGATTCAAATAGAAAGTAAATATATAGAAAATGATGATGGCAACATGTACAAATATGCTTGATACAATTGCTGTATGGAATGTCATAACAGCTTTAAGAGCTGCGCCCTCAATAAAACTCCCTCTTGGCTAGATAGACTGCACTTGGTCAAACTCTACCAGGCATTCTACACCCTCCGCGCCATGAATTTTAGATCACTCTTGTTCCCTAGTCCCTGCGTTTGTTAGTTACCCGCTTCCTATCCCCCACCTCCCCCTCTCCCATGTCTCCCTGGAACCACTGGTCGCATTGTTTTCTCCTCGGGATTGAGAAAAACCTTTTAAATGGAGTTTTATACAACAGAAACTTCTCAGCAGTCAAAATTTAGGCTGTAAAAAAATACATGCAAAACATATTTCTCTGGAAGCAAGTTTGAACAAACCATCAAACGACACAAGTGCAGAATGAAAACAGCATTTCGATTCCATCAAAAGCCTTCATCATAAAAGGCATAAAAGTCATCTAACTTCATTAAGCACTGTTCACTTTTAAACAGGAGGTGACAAAAAACATTGCCCCCAAACAACATCCCAACTCTACAGTGTTTCAGGACGTCTTCAACTCTATGCTCTCACAACGGCGAAGAGGGTCCGAGGGAGCACGGAGCATGACGACAATAGGGAGAAGGTAACCGTCTCCTATAAATCTGATCCCAGTCCTGAATGGTTCTCCACCCCTCTCCTCTGCATCATCTCCTATAGCAGTTCTCCTCTTCAGAGGCTTGATCGTCTCCTTTTACAGCAATCCCGATGGTGTGAAGTGCCACTGGGTAGGTCTCCCATGTAAATTCCAGGTACTGGGGTATGTGGTCTTTTTATTAAGGAGAATCAACTCTGATCCTATGCCATCACGCTCCATTCCATGGGCACTCTCCATAACTTGCCTGAAATCAAGGCAAATCCTGGTGAATGCCTACACTGCTTGTCATATGCAAAAGATACATCCACAATGGGGTCATATTTAGGCAACATTTCTTTTCGATTTCTTTCTGTGGTGTATAAATTCAATCCAAATATCCCAAGGCAACAGTTGGGATCAAGATTTGCCCAATTCCCAATATGACACCCATGAGAAGACAAGGAAGAAGACTGTGGTGGTGCCAACTGCAATAATTTCGATGGTAAGACCTACAGGACTAAGGAACAGGACCAAGATTTTGTATACTGCCTTTGAGAACTTCTGGATTTAGACCTACTTTCAGATCTGGACCTAGACTTTAATCTGGAACCCTGGAATCTTCCTTGGAGCAAGACCTTGCAGGGGTATGCCTTGCAGATTGCTCAGATCCACAAGTACTTCCACTTTTGGAAGAAGAATGGGATTTCTGCTCGCTGTAGTTTTGCTTGCCACTGTTGCTCGTGACCCGTCTGCAGTTGCAGCTTGAAGCACTTTGCCTGTAGCTGTCAACATGTGGAAGGCAGTGGTCAGAGCTGCTCAGACACGAAGCACCCCACACTGCCTCCTCACAGGCTCAACCCTAAACATGACTTTTTTTTATCATTATATAACTGAGGAAAGCTTATCTTTATGTTTTTCTTATCCAATTTTATTTTATTCATTTTGATAATGCTAATAAGCAAATCTTTTGGACCAAGGGTCCCTGCGTATACAGAACCTGCTAAACTCAGGAGACAGAGAAAGCTGCAACCTAAAAACAGTCCAAGATGGATAGGAGCACAGCGAGGACACGAGTGGCAGTGGCTCAAGACAGTCAGAACCAGGAGACTAGTGCAAGGTGGCTGTGGGAGGCTTCCTGATCCATGGAGAGAGCAAGCTAAGTGCTATTGACTGAGAGGCTTGCTGATAAGTGTATATTTTTGGCCTTTGGGCACTTGTAGGTAAAGCTATAACTCTTACCCAAGCAGGGTAGATGCCAGGCTGTGTGAGATCCAACAGCAGAGGTCCAAGAAGTACAACTTACTGGGTTCCAAGGTTTAGAAGAAGCTGAATGTTATCCTGTTTAGAAGCTGCCCTCATTGATAAACTATGCTGACTTGTATCTCATTACTTCCAAGTCAATCCCAGTCTTGAATTGTAGCCTGTAGTCCTGACAAACCACATAACCCAAATAAGGTCTGTGAGTTCTGTGGCTCTTGCAACAATTTATTTAACCTAGAAGAGAAGTGGAGAATGCTGTGGGAAGAACAGGTAGTGTCAGAGATGTTTGATTTCAAGATTCAATTTGGGGTGATGGTGATTGTCTTCCTCCTGAAGTTAGATGAAGTTTGATGCATTACAACCCCTCATGTAATAATTCTTTCCATTCCCAGCTGAGAAACACTAATAAACTTTTATCTGTATGCATTTCCTGTTCTAGATGGTTCATGTAAGTGCAATCATCAATTATTTGTCCATTTGAGTCTGGCTTCTTTCATGCAGCATGTTTTCAAGGTTCAAACACTTAGCAGATATACTACAACTTTCTTTGAACCGTTGAGTAACTTTCCATTGTAGTTACACTACATTTTGCTTATCCATTCATCAGCTGATAAACATTTAGGGTGTTGTCACTTGTTGGCTGTTGGGAACAATGCAGCAATGAACACTGGTATCCTTAAGTCTTGCAGGGTGAAAATGTTTGGTCATGGTGAAGGCACTTCCTTAGGAGACCTGGTAGCAGGGTTGGGCTGCTAACCACAAGGTCAGCAGAGAAAGATGCAGTCTTGGAAACCCAGTGGCAGTACAACTCTGCCCTGTAAGTGCTGGAATCCATTTGATGGCGGTGAGCTTGGTTTCCTGCTTTGAAGGTTTTCTTATGACGGTGTAGTGGATTAAATGTCGGGCTGCGAACTGAAATGTTGGCAGTTCGAACGGACCAGCCGCTCTACAGGAGGAAAACAGGGCAGTTTGTGTTTATAAAGATTTACAGGGGGTTTATGAGCTGGGCCCGATTTGAAGGCAGAGGATCACTCGATGTTTACCGTATATACTTCAGAATAAGTCAACCCAAATATCAGCTGAGGCACCTAATTTT